ATGCTTTTTTTGGTCCATGCAATGAAGTGCTTCCCTAAGAAGAAAAAGGAACCATGGGAAGATCTGGGTCTTAAGTGAATTGGATTAATAAGAATACTATAAATTTATTTTTTTACACGTGGCTTTAATATTGCATGCAAGACAATTGTTTGCTCAAACTTTGAGTGAATGTAACATAACCATAATAGATTTTTTTTTTTAGGAAGATATCATTGTTATTTGAACTTACATTCTGTTTAAAGCTTAGAATAATTTGTTCTTGAAAGGTATTAGACTAGTGACAAAATGGCAAACTGTATGTTAACCTTCTGATAAGTAGAGGTTTTCTAGTTGAATATATTGTGTCTTGTTTGCTCAACTATGCTTTTATTTTGATCTCTATGGTAGTAGCTGCTCAGGAAACAAAGGAAAATTGTTTTTGCAACTTAAGCAATGATAACCTGTTTAGCTAGCCCTCACGCCTTTCTTTTACCAACCATTTGTCTTTTGGACAGAGTCAAATGCTCTATTGATGCTAGTAAGAGATGCTGTTTAGAGTGAGAAGGGTTTTAGGATTTGAAATCTATTATAGTTTTGTGACAAAGGTTATTCCATCTTGGAGTCCGTTAGTCACACTTCTGTCAGTTTTATAATGGGCATTCTCTGTTTGCCTTCACTAACCTGACAAAATTCTTTATTTGTTCTCTTTCACTCCTCTCATTTTTATGCATTAAACTAGAATTTGTATAGTACTTGGTTTTTTAATTAGTTTATAATATGATGGGTAATAAGTTCCTGTTTTCATAATATTGTTATCTGCTTTGTGTTCTATACAAGAATAGCAAAATGGACAAACACCTAATTTGCTGATGTGCAATTTGGTCTGGGATAGCTTGTCAGTTTGAAACAACTCACTTTTAGAATGCTCACTTAGTTGATGTATCTTTGCTGCAATTGAAAATGTCTTTTGAAATTTGAAATTTCACTCTCTTCTCCTGCTTGAATGATATACTGATCAGTATTGTGATTTGAGGTGCCATTTTCTTAAGAGGATTTGGTCTTGCGTTACTTCCTTTGCGAAAGAGATCAAACCTGTGTTTGTTCAATTTTGTTTCTCAATTAAACTTAAACATCATATTTTGTTTTACAAAGATGCCTGTTCTGGCCATTCAGTAGGATTACATTCTTTAAAAGAGTAATTTGCTCTTAATTTAGTTAGCATTGAGGAGCTAGCTATCCTTCTCCCATCCCATAAATCCCACCCTGCTGATCCGAGGATTTGAATTCATGACCTCCAAGATAGAGTCTTAAGAGCTAACCATTGGTGTTTCTTGGGGTTTCCTGCTATTGGTACATAGTATAAAAGGCTTTAAGTTTCTCAATTTTGCGAGAACAGCATTGGGCATGTTGAATAAAGATTTTCAATGGTTTTCAGTTTTTTTACCTTGACCTCTTCTAAGTGTTTCTCGACTTACCTATTGGTCATTGAGCTTTCACTATGAGCTTTTGCATCTTTTGCTCCACCGCTCTAAGGAAAGAAGTGATTGCTCTGTTTGATATGCATCTTTAGGCATTTTAGTTTTTTCTATTTGATTTGTGAACATCAATATATCTTTTTGTGTCAGTTATACGCAGACCTGTTTATGTTAAATGTCTGTCACTTACATTTCTGCATGTAATTTTTAATCTCTTAGGTTGATAATGAATGAGTTTATGGGATCCTTAATGCTTAAAGACAATTTAAGTGAGGCCCTAATTTATCCATTTTTTTAGGTTATACTCCCTTCGGCCAGTGAACTGTATTGTTTGTCAGTTGTTTATCTCATTTAAGCATTCTAAGCTAGTTTCTTTCTTTCAAAAGCCTGAAAACCCTGAAATGCAAATGCTGTATTGGAGCATTGTCTATTGACTTAAAACTTCTGTCGTTGTTGCAGAGGAAAAAAGGTTTTTGTGGCCCCACACCATGTCAGATCTTGAAGTACCCCTTCGCCCAAAGAGGAAGAAGGGCTTGGTGGACTTTTTCGTCCAGTTTCGGTGGATTTTTGTTATTTTGGTTGTCCTTCCTTTTTCATGTGCCTATTATTTTCTCATATATCTTGGAGATGTCAGATCTGAGATGAAGTCCTTCGAGCAGCGCCAGAAGGAACATGATGAAAATGTTAAGAAAGTAATGAAGCGTCTCAAGCAGAGGAATCCAAAAAAGGATGGTCTTGTGTGCACAGCCCGTAAACCATGGATTGCTGTTGGAATGCGGAATGTCGACTATAAGAGGGCTCGCCATTTTGAAGTTGATTTGTCTGCTTTCCGTAATATCCTTGAAATTGATAAAGAGAGAATGATAGCAAGGGTTGAGCCTCTTGTAAACATGGGGCAGATCACACGGGTCACTGTCCCAATGAATCTTTCCCTTGCCGTGGTTGCAGAGCTTGATGATCTCACGGTTGGTGGTCTGATCAATGGCTATGGGATTGAAGGAAGCTCCCACATCTATGGCCTGTTTTCTGATACTGTTGTAGCTTATGAGATAGTTCTGGCTGATGGCCGTGTTGTTAGAGCTACCAAGGACAATGAATATTCTGATCTCTTCTATGCTATCCCTTGGTCTCAAGGAACCCTTGGACTTCTTGTTGCTGCTGAAATCAAACTTATTCCCATTAAAGAATACATGAGGCTGACCTACACACCAGTAGTGGGGAATCTGAAGGAGCTTGCACAGGGTTATATTGACTCTTTTACACCCAGAGATTGTGATCAAGATAATCCAGAGAAAGTTCCAGAGTTTGTAGAAGGCATGATTTACTCGCCCACTGAAGGTGTCTTCATGACTGGGAGATATGCCTCTAAAGAAGAGGCCAAGAAGAAGGGGAATAAAATTAACAATGTTGGTTGGTGGTTTAAACCCTGGTTCTACCAGCATGCGCAGACAGCTTTAAAGAAGGGAGAGTTTGTAGAATACATTCCTACCCGGGAGTATTACCACAGGCACACAAGATGTTTGTATTGGGAGGGGAAGCTCATCCTTCCATTCGGAGATCAATGGTGGTTTAGGTTTCTCTTGGGCTGGATGATGCCACCCAAGGTTTCCTTGCTCAAGGCTACTCAAGGTGAAGCCATAAGAAATTATTACCATGACTTGCATGTCATTCAAGACATGCTTGTTCCTCTTTACAAGGTTGGGGATGCCCTAGAGTGGGTCCACCAAGAGATGGAGGTAAATTTTATGTTCTTGCACTTGTTTTCCTTTCATTACCTCCTCATCCTTCTTGTTATATTTTATGTTCCTTTTCTATTTGTCTCTCTTTCACTCTTTTTTTTTTTTTTTGAAAATTGCCTCTCTTTCACTCTTAAAAGGTTATATTTTTCTTATGATGGGATGATTGCCTTAATGAAAGGTAATGGGTGCTCTTCCCTGGTAAGACATGTTCACTGTGGTTGGTCTTATCATATAAAGGTTGAAACGAAGAAAAGTAATTAGTCATATTAGATCTCGTAGAAGCTCCTTCATACAGAGGAGGAATCGTGACTGGTTTGCTATTTGCAGCCTTACAAACACACAAAAGAGCTTGGAAATGTTCTCTCGGCTAAATTCTTAATTTGACTCTTCAAATTTTGTAAATTAGGATCATTAGAATTAAGTGTTAAGATTGTGATTGTATAATTTGTTGATTCTCCAGATCTATCCCATTTGGCTCTGCCCGCATCGACTGTTCAAGCTTCCAGTCAAGACTATGGTGTACCCTGAACCAGGCTTTGAGCATCAGCACAGACAGGGTGATACACCTTATGCTCAGATGTTCACAGATGTGGGGGTGTACTATGCTCCAGGCCCTGTGTTGAGGGGTGAGCTGTTTGATGGTGCAGAGGCAGTTCGTAAAATGGAGAAATGGCTGATTGAAAACCATAGTTTCCAGCCACAGTATGCAGTGTCTGAGCTGAATGAGAAGGATTTCTGGAGGATGTTTGATGCGCGTCTCTATGAGCATGTTAGGCGGAAGTATGGAGCTGTGGGAACATTCATGAGTGTCTACTACAAATCTAAGAAAGGAAGGAAGACTGAGAAGGAGGTGCAAGAAGCTGAACAAGCCCATCTTGAAACTGCATATGCAGAGGTTGATCAGCCTATGGACTGACTCTAAGGTGAACCTGACCAACTTTGGTAGAACTTCTTTCTTTCTGTGGCGAATCTTGCATTGTCTTGTCTTGTTGTCTCTTTCTCTTATCTTTGCTTAGTAGTTCCCTCATCGAATGCAGTTTGTACTTGACATTATCGGATGCTTTAAGCATGATGAGTTTAGGTTAATCTTCTTGAATGGTTGCCTCTCTCGCTTAGACTAAGATAATGAGGCTTCTTTAGATGTGACCTTATTATGTTATCCGGGTATGTTGCACCGGAGCACCAGGGGCGATGACCCTAACATGGTCTTCCAGCAATCAGAAGTTTAGATCGGAGACATTTTGTTTTCCTTCTTTCTGTCTTTTCTGGACTTCCAGTTAATTGCATAAAGTGTAAAGTGAGACATTGGGGCAGGCAGGGTGTCACGGGCTTTAAACTTTAGCCTTAAACCGTGCGGCCGCTGATCGTGACACTGGGGGGCATGGCTTAGGTTCACCCTGTCCCTCAATAATCCTGAGAAGTTTCTTTACTCAGCAAATGATTTTCCACACTTGAACAAATATAGGATAAAGTATTTATCAGCCATGGACCCATCTATAACTCATTTGTCTCAAAACTCCTCATTAGACCACTAGTAATTTATATAGTTTCTTTTAGTTCTATATAATGTTTTAAGTATGCACTATGAATTAATAATCTAAAATTTAAACTTTAATTTACGCGGGTATTTGATCCAATAATAAAATGAATGTATTTTAATTCAAAGAATCCGGTTTGAATTCTTTTTTTGTCCCCAAAAAACATAACTTGCTTTTTTTTTTTTCATGAATTGATAAATAAGTATTTGCTATTCTTTCCTCTTACTTTATTTCTTTGTGTAATCATATTGTTAAAACTTCTAAAATGTGAAAATCAATATTTGCTGTATAAAATTTCAACAAAATTGAAATTTATTGCAAAGTATTTCAAAATTTATTGCAAAAATGCTAGAATTTTAAATACTAAATTATACACTTTGCGCGGTTCAAACTCCATAATCAAAGTAACCATGGTTTCCAATATTTCATGATCAACATGAAAATTTAGGACTTGGGTTTTTGTTTTTTTAATCTATGGCTCATGTAGACAGAAAGCATAGTAAATCTTTGTATAAATAATCTAAATATTTGCACCATGTAGATATGCTTTCCTTAGTTCCAACAATCTACACCACCTCTGGTCGATGGAAGCTGCATTCTTCTTACCAATATCTGCCCCATCAAAATTCTTTGGTGAGTTTTGGTAGCTTTAGAACACAATAAGTTTTTTTATCTAGATCAATGAATATTCTGTAAAATAGTACTTACAACGCAGGGTGGGTTCAGATTTCTGGCATGACTCTGAGCAAGTGTCCTGCAATTTAGTATGGAATTTGGAGTACCATCAGAAAGATATTCACTCAAACGCATAGTCTGACTCTATCATTGCTCTTCTCTTCAATGTTCATACCTTGGTGGAGGTAGTAAGCCGGATGGTGTCCTGTATCAGAGAATCCAGGTTGGCTTCATACCCTGGTTTCACATAGATAACCTGCACGTATCACACACCATTGCTGAGTATGTATACTTAGCTCAGAGAGAGAGAGAGAGAGAGAGAATTTTGAGTTTAGAGACTTAATGATGGATCATCTCCACCAATTTCAGGCAATTGATGAGTTGCAGCATGGTCTCTACTCGAAGCCAGAACCCAAACGTTGAAGTTGGTATCAATCTGATGAAAAATTCCGCGCTGGAAATGTCAACCGCTAGCATATACAAAGGAACAAAATATACTTCTAGTTGTTTTGAGGAGAAATACCTCTCTGCAATATGGGGAAGAGCAAATGCCACATTTTCTAGTGAAAGATGTCACAATCCTTCCATCTATTGAGAGACCAAAGCTGGCATGCTGCAATCCAACTTATAGTTAATTAGTACTAAACATAGAAAGTTAAGCAATTTCTTATCAGTTTAAACTTCTCAAGCAACTGGTCATACAGCCATATATCTTTCTATCATGGCATGGAAGTCTTTAAGATAATTGATGAAGGAACAGAATATAGTTCTGACATGGTCAAATCAAGCATTAATAACTAGTTATAGCATGAAACAAAAGAGAAAAGAAAGAGATGGAAATGACCTTTTGGATGCTGAGATTGATATAAACCTGAGCATCTTTTTGTTCATCATCTTCAACCAAGTCATCCAAGTCCAGGTCCTTGAGAGATACAAGGAAGTCACAGCTCCATGTTCCATGCCACCTTCCGTCTGCTGTTGAAATCGTGATCAGACGGCGTCGACCACTCCAACTGTCTTTCTTGCTAATCTGCACCCATTAAAGGGTAACAATGGAAACACTCCATAATCTAAAAATCTGCATGTTTCTGGGTAAATCAAGGTCAAGAATGCAGTGAAATATGAATGGAAGGGAAAGGGTTGAAGGGTACCAGAGATGAGTAATCATGCTTTCTGGAATCAGCTCTAAACCGAACACCGACACTGTGGGATTGAAGTTTATGGGAATTGAGCTTAGATTGGAACGAGCTTCGAATTTGGTTGATAGTTCTTGCTGACGAAGATGATACTAAACGGCTGGCTTCTGCCATTGTTCTCCCCGTAACTGCAATGCCAAGTTCGGGTGGATACATGTCAGCAAATCAGAGCCCCTATCTACTATTTCTTGGACAAAGAGATAAGGATTTTCTGGGTATACCGTCCCTACAAATAGATATTTTCTTTATAAATTTACAGATAGAGCTTGTCGTATGTCTTTCCTTTCCCCTCTCCCAATATAAAAGAAAATTGTGCATGTGCATGTGAATGTGCATGCAAATTTTTGTATAATAATTTTATTATTATAAATAATCTATAATTTATATAAAATTACACATGTTGAAATTTTTTTTAATTGCATATTTATTCGTAATATTTCTTAATTTTATTTTCAATATTTTTTGTTTCAATAAAATTTATCTTATTTATAAATATATAAAGAATTTTAATTATATCCATCAATTTCTACTAAAAATATTTTTTATTATAAAATTTTTAATGTGTCATTTTTTAGATTTTTTTTCTTGTTAATGTCAATAAAATTTATCTAATTTGTAAATCTATAAATTTTAATTGTATCGGCTGATTTTTATCTAAAAAAATATTTTTTATTTTATTTATAAATAAAAACTGTTAATTATATTAAATAACTTTAAATAAAAATAGTTTTATTAAATTTAATAATATTTTACATATAATTATAACTTAAAAAAACGTTTATGATAATAAATTTTAATGTCTTTTTTACAAATAAAATATTATATTTGACCAGCCCACGAAAATTGCTCAAGCGCGTCGCCCCCTTCATTTTCCTCACTTGCCCTTCGTCTCTCAAACCCAAACCCAAACCCCGCCGACTTAAATCTTTTTCTTCTCTGTAAAATCCGGCGGAATACACTCTCTGTTTCTTCTCCGATTCGCCGGCTCAGATCAAAGAAGAGATACCAGCAATCCCAGGTCAGCCTTTTTTTTATGAGTTCATTTTTTTTCATCTTTTATCAAAATCGGCGGCGCTGTTTTTGTTTCGGATTTTCGGTTTCCAAATCTGTAATTTTTTTTGAAGAAAAATAGTAAGATATGTCACCCAAAGGAAGTGCCATCTTAAGTTTTACGCTGTGCCCTAATTTCGTTGTCGATTTTGGAATATTTTTGATTTGTTTTGTTTAAAATTTTGTTCATTGCAGGTTGATGGCGGTTGATTTAATTCTTGCTTGATAAGTTAGTTTTTTAAGTTTTGTGAAAAATGCCAGGGGTAATGCCAATATTGCCCCTTCCGGCGCCGCCTTTGGATGGGGATTTAGGGCTTTTGCCTCCATCTCAGGTGCCGGCAGACGATCAAATCGAAGAGAAACCAGCCAATGAGGAGCAAAACAAAGCCAATTCGATTGCGACCCACACTAGAACTATTGGAATTATTCATCCCCCTCCAGATATTAGGAACATCGTCGATAAAACTGCTCAGTTTGTTGCCAAAAATGGACCGGAATTCGAGAAAAGAATCATTGCCAATAACGCTAACAATGCTAAGTTCAATTTCTTGACTAGTTCAGATCCCTACCATGCTTATTATCAACATAGGTTGTCAGAATTTCGTGCTCAGAATCAGAACCAGTCTAACTCTCAACAGCAGCAATCGCCTTCAGAGCCTGCGGATTCTGCTCCAACTGAGTCTGCTCCAACTGCTGCTGCTGCTGGGAATGAAGCGGCAGTGGCAGTGGCCAAGCCTGATCCTGCTGTGCAGTTTAGACCACCTGTGAGGAAGAATCTTGAACCACCAGAAGCTGCTCAATATACTGTTAGGCTTCCTGAAGGGATTACAGGGGAAGAATTGGATATTATTAAGCTAACTGCACAGTTTGTTGCACGAAATGGGAAATCATTTTTGACGGGACTGACTAGTAGGGAGATTAACAACCCTCAGTTTCATTTTTTAAGGCCGACTCATAGTATGTTTACCTTTTTCACTGAACTTGCGGATGCTTATTCCAAAGTGTTGATGCCTCCAAAGGGTTTGACAGAGAAATTGAGGAATAGTATTGCTGATATGACAACTGTGCTTGAGAGGTGCTTGCGTCGGCTAGAATGGGAACACTCCCAGGAGCAGGCAAGGCAGAAAGCTGAGGATGAAATTGAGCAGGAGAGAATGCAAATGGCAATGATTGATTGGCATGATTTTGTTGTGGTTGAGACTATAGACTTTGCTGATGATGAGGATGAGGACTTACCTCCTCCAATGACCATTGAGGAGGTTATAAGGAGGAGCAAGATATCTGCTATGGAAGAAGATGAAATTGTTGAGCCTGGAAAGGAGGTGGAAATGGAAATGGATGAAGAAGAGGTACAGCTTGTTGAGGAAGGCATGAGAGCTGCTAGCATAGAAGAGAATGATGGCGAGAAGAAAGAGATGAGGGCAAATGAGGAACCAGAACCACCAATGAGAATTGTGAAGAACTGGAAGAGGCCTGAGGAGAGAATCCCTGCAGAAAGAGATCCGACCCAGTTTGTTGTTTCACCAATAACTGGCGAGCTAATTCCCATTAATGAGATGTCTGAGCACATGAGAATTTCCTTAATTGATCCCAAGTATAAGGAGCAGAAAGAAAGGATGTTTGCAAAGATTAGGGAGACAACTCTTGCACAGGATGATGAGATATCAAGAAACATTGTGGGACTTGCACGCTTACGTCCTGATATCTTTGGTACTACTGAGGAAGAAGTTTCTAATGCTGTCAAGGCAGAGATAGAGAAAAAGAAAGATGAGCAACCAAAACAGGTTATATGGGATGGTCATACTGGAAGCATTGGACGCACTGCAAATCAGGCTATGTCTCAAACTATCATGGGAGAGGATCAAAATGATGCTGCCAATAGCAATGTACAGAACCTTCCGGGTCCTGCAGCTCCTCCTCCTCGACCTGGTGTTCCATCAGTTCGTCCTCTCCCTCCACCCCCTGGACTAGCTTTAAATCTTCCTCGTGTTCCTCCAAATGCTCCCCAATATTCTGCAGCTTCTAGTGGTGGGCTTCCTGTGCCATTACCTCAACCTCGTCCATTAGGTGTTCCAATGATGCCCACAATTCGTCCAGCACCACCTCCAATGCAGATGGCATCTGGCCAACCACCCATGATGATGAATCGGCCACCCCAAATGCCTCCATCAATGTCCATGAATCCGGCTAATTTTCCTGTGCCCCCTCCACCAGGCTCTCAGTTTACCCCTGTGTCAGTACCTAGACCCTATGCCCCTCTTCCTGTCGCCCCACCTGCTATGCCTATGATGCAGCCGCCTCCACCTTTACCCCAAGGAATACCTCCACCACCACCACCTGAAGAAGCTCCTCCACCACTTCCTGATGAACCAGAGCCAAAGAGACAGAAGCTTGATGATTCCATGCTTGTTCCAGAAGATCAGTTCCTTGCTCAACATCCGGTATGGGGAGCAGCTGCTCTTACTCCTAAGTGTGATGTCTTTAAATATTTTTTTCAACATAATTTATACTACATTTGGTGTCTTGATTTATTATGCTCTAACTGTTGCTTGGTTTCTATTGCAGGGACCTGCTCACATTACTGTGTCTGTTCCCAACCTTGATGAAGGTAATCTAAAAGGACAACTTCTTGAGATCACAGTGCAGGCCTTATCTGAAACAGTTGGCAGTTTGAAGGAGAAAATTGCTGGGGAGATCCAGCTCCCTGCAAACAAACAGAAATTGAGTGGAAAGGCCGGGTTTTTGAAGGACAATATGACCCTTGCATATTACAATGTTGGAGCCGGAGAAACACTAGCTCTTTCATTGAGGGAGCGTGGTGGTAGGAAGAGGTGATGAGTTTTTGAACAAGGCCATCCAAGGTTTCTGTTGGACCTTAAAATGATTGTGGGACTCTTTGCTCGTTCTTCTTTGTTGTTATATTTTGGAGATTACATTGGTTGGTTATGTACTGTTAGGATTACTATCTTAATGTTACTACAATACTTAAACTTGTTTTGTTGTTATAAACTAATGGCAAGTCTGATATCTACCACAGATCTGGCATTTTGGCGAGCCTCACAGGGGCAATTTGAAGTAAAGGACTCCTTTTGCTTAGGGAGACAAGTTACCTGCTTATATCACTAATTGCAGTTGGTTTACTACTTGTATATGATCTGAAATATTTGCTGAGTGCCCATGTTTATAATCATGAAACTGTCTTCAAGCTTATGTCGTGGTAAATTTAGTGACACATATGGGCCTTGTCCCAGAAAGAAGTTTTTGTTTTGTAGGTAGCACAATTCTTTGCCTTGATGGTGGAAGCATAGAAGTGTCAATAGATTTGCTGAGCAGTACCTCTCTTTGGTGTGTCACCATGGGCTTTGCTGAGCAAATACCTCTCCCTGATATGTGTCAGCAGGGGGATGGGGCTCATGCCCGAAGAAGTCATTTTTTAATTTCTGCTGTTTGCTTGTTTCCACATTTGGTAAGGTTTCTGATGCCTTTACTTTCTCACTTCAGAAAAGCTATTTGTTTGGACTCCTGGTCTTTTCAACCTATCACTATCAGATGTTTTAGGACTGCAGATGCAGGTAGGAGTGGATTGTCGTTATATATTCCATGGATGCATTTCTTTTTTCTTGCTTCTAGAGTTCTTATGGCGGTTTTTTTAAAGGCTGCCATCTTTGCTCTTTGCAGCATGACTGGGGTGGTTGCAAGGTGGAGCTCCATTTTCTGTTGATAATATCTTGTGGTTGATGGTGGTGCTTTTGCTAGTATTTTCTATCTTTTTCTTACTTGCACTATGGGCTATTTGATTCACATAACTTTCATTAATTATAATAAAATTATTATTTAATTAAACAGATTATCAAATATCTGTATTTGTTATATTAATTAATTTAGGTGGAGAGATGCTTAGAGGCTATGTTTACCCACAGCCTATGCTTAAACTAATAACTACATATTACCATCCAAGTCTTTTTGGTAATGATTAAGTTAACACTCATTTGATTTTTATTGACCATGGATCATGTCAATTTATTATTATATAAAATAATAAAATTTTACGATAAAGTGATTAAAAAATTTATTATATTTAAAATAAAAATATAAAAATTTAATTAAAAGTAAACACAACATAAAAATTCATTTTAATTTTTTTATAATAATTTAAAAATATCTGTAAGTATTATGTCAATATAAAATTTGTACCCAAGTCCGATCTGCCGATACAATGATATCACCCCTTTCGCCCGCTTACCAGAACACCAAAAGCAGCTGGAAGCCCATTGTTGTGAACTCTGGTTTTCAAGTTCTTAACAGCCAAACGGTTTAAAAAACCTGGATATCCTCTTGTAGTGTAACGGATTCTTTGTTCTAAGTGAGGTAAAGGATCAAACATTGAAAGCCATCATAAAATGAGAAGAAGAAAAAAATAAAAGAGACTAAACATACTGTCATCGATTTAAATTAATTAACGATGACGACGACTCAAAACAATATTTTCTTTTTTCACTTCTTGTGTATCTTTCGCGAATTTCGCACACTAGGCAAGTATCTCAATATCGAATATGGACAACCGAAAAACCGGAAAATATTTTGGCAATCTTTTTCCTCAACCAGATCACTTCCCCGGGAGCTTAGATGGCTCAGGTAAGTTTTACCTTCGTATATGTAACAAAGCTGCTGCCATAGAAGAACACTTAAACCGATCTGCACAGAAACGCTCGAAACAAATAGATAGACAAGAACAAGCCCCTGGGCAGACAGTTGCGCAGCAGAGCTCAGCAAAGTGAGAACCACTTCCTTCAATGCTCTCAATGCCAAGTCGCTGCTGAAACCGTTCAAGTGGCCTGGAGATCTGTACTTTAATGGTGGCCAGATATGTGACCCTGCATATGCGGACATGACTGAAACATAGATAGTACTGACAACGGCTGAGAAAAGGAAGGCAATGAAGTGCCGGTGATTTGCTGCTCCAACACAATTCCCTATCTGTGTCATATTATAAAGCAAATAGTGTTAGCATGAAAGTCACGTAGAATCTTAGGCCTTAGCTATGCAATCCAGGAATTTACTCCACCAAAGTAATTAAGTAAACTGTTACAAAGTTACTACTTTTACAGGCATTAAATAATCTGGATATAAAGATGTACAACATCATCACTTCACAATAAGCAAATCAGCACATAAGAATGCACACACTTGAAGATTAGCCTTAACCAGCCCATAAAATTTGGATTAAATGGGAAACAAGAATGAAATAAAGAAATAGAATAGGACAAAGAATCCAAATCTGTGAACTATAACATTAGCACTCATGAAATATAAAGCCCAAAACAATAAAGCTTTTATCTTATGCAGCTTAAATTTCAATTTTGACATCAGGCACCACCAGTTCCACAAAAATAAGTTCAGAAAATTGAGGAGAGGACTCTATGCTAGTGACCACCCACCCTTAGAAGCTGACCTACAGATGCCCTTATGAGAACATTTGACACAATGGGGAATAGACATATCAGAAGGGGGAGAAAATCCAAGAAGACATGCATGGAAAATATAAAGACGTGCTTTCACTAATCCTACCTAAGAAAGTGTCCTACAGAAAGGAAAAAAGCTCTGTCTGTTGTTCTATCTACATGTACAAACTTTAAAGACATAAGAAAGTTATTACTAGTAGTTTATGTACATCCATTTATCGTTGGCAAATTTGTCAACCATGTAAATTAAAATTTCAAGTTGGAGTTAAAATCACTGCAGAATGAAGCTAATAGAATTAGGTTGTTTATCTTTCCTTCTTCTTTTTTTGTCTCTTTCTCCTAGGAACACTTTTAATTGCTTAACAGCAAGCTCTATGTTTTTCAAAAAGGTTACAATAGAATAACATAATGAAAAAAATGGAGAAGTAGGGTTTATTTATTTCATGGAGGTTTTACTCCCAGTCAGTTTCTGTTAACTATTAATTGCAGAGAAGATTAATGATCTTTCCTTCTCATGTCAAAATGAAGCACATTATTTTCATGAGGTTTGATAGCCTAACTCCAAGATGTTATCAATGAACAAAAACAGCTTCATCACTATCAGAAAACAACAAGGCAATGATGCAATTGTTCCCTAATATTATGCAATAAGCAAGAAAATTGATACCAATTGCAAATAAAACTGTCAAATACTCCATTAAACCTTCTTATTTACAAGACATCTGCATCTACACTTTACAAAATAACTAGGCCCTGGCACAATAAAGTATTTCAACACTGAAAATATGCTTAATACTTACAAAAGGACAGTGATGATCCATGTCCAATATACATGTCCCACATGAACGGCAGTGATGCGCTCTCGGTGATTTTGGCTTTGAACAATAGTGACAGAAGGTATAGTTTTCAAGGCCACCTTTCCCCACAACAGGATAGCTACCCCACAAAATGATTGGCGGTGTACCAGCACATTGAAATGCTGCTAAGCTGAAGGTAGAAATAGTAGTTGCAGCCAAGGTCATTGTTAAGATGCAATGAAGAACCCCACAAGTATAGCTGACAGAGAAAACAACAGGATACACTGCCCATACTCCCCCACCTGCACTTGCATGTCAACATAGATGAGAAATATGAAACTTCATGAAAAATTAGACAATGCGACTTAGAAACTAGCCAACTGCTGCTTGTATTTGGAGAGGGAGACTACAAATGTGGCTATAAACACTATAAATCAAAATGACTACACTTAAATTCAGCACTTGCAGAAAAAACCATGTGAGGATATGTATTAAAAAAATTCTTATCCTGATATAAAATTTTTATTTTTGTGTGACAGGCAAATATGAGGATAAATATTTATGCACCCATCTGAGATATAACTATGAAACTTCATTATGCAAAAGTTTCCACATCTTCTTCCACTAATGATTAATCCCTTCAATACCACCATCAAAAATCTTAAACATATATTCTGTACCCCATCTAGTGTCAGCCACAAGAACTAATATTATGAGCAGATTATTTTCCAATGTTAACCTTTAAAAAATCCAGTTTAGTACAACTGTTGACATACATTTAAGGGTGAATTTGGAAAGAGAGTTTAAATGTCCAAGTCTGAAAATTAAAAGGTTGAGATCAAACAAAACCAAATATAAGGGTGATGTAGAAACTAATTGCAGAACTTCAAAGTATCCATTGTAATTTCCCAATATAACTCAAACCAAGGATTAGCATAAGTCTAAACTAAAGATAGTACCTTTACGTGAATATAACCCAATAATTAAGAAAACTGGTCCGAAAACATCTTGAGCAAAGACTTTAACCTTTTCTTTAACAGAACTTATATACATAGCTAAAATCAATTAGCAAAGGTGATACATTGAGCCAACTCAAAACGTTGAGATGAGTTGTAAAAGAAACTCTACAGTTTCATACAAACAAATTCGTTGAACATATTTTAAGGGGAAGTTAATGTATGTACTGAATCATAAATCATGGGTCTAGTTAATTATTAAAGGGAACAGGAGGGAAAAGCAGGGTGAGGGAGTGTTTCAACTTTTATATAAGCCATATGAGAGAGAGAGAGAGAGAGAGAGAGAAAACATACATATTACAAAGAACATAAACATGAAGAGAGTACAAACAAAGCACCGATCACGCAAGCGCCTCCACCAAAGACATTTGGTTTCAGGTTTATTTACATTTTGATTTGTTATGGCTCCACACCAGCCACACTTGAAAACAGGTGCGTAAGTTGGTAGAAGGAGGCGCAATCCACAACCCCAGCATGTAGTCTGATGATCCTCAGTGACTGGTGTTACAAAATGTTCCTGCATTTGAAATAGTCCAGATGAAAAGAGTGTTTACTTTTCTTCAGTCAGCCATTGAGGGAATCCACTTTTTCATCGTACTGGCATATAAAGAAGCATATATCAACTGAACAATCTTTATACCATCTCAACCTCCATATTTGGAAGTGAGATGCAATGTACTCACTTCAGCTACACTTTCTGTCTAAATAGATTGCTGATTTCTTCTCCTTTTATTTCCATAGGATACCATCAAATGCTTTTTCTTAAATGTTAGCAATCAAGTACACAACTGCTTATCCTCTTAGAAGACAAACTCACACATTTAAAAATTCCAAATCATTTCTACATTTCATATTATGACAGAATTATTCACCTAGAGCTTTTTTTTGTCAAAACTTCACACCATCTTCCCTAAACAAAACCTGACTTTTATTGTCATTAATCTTTTCCTGATTTTGTTGCAATCTTTCTCAGCAAAATTTCAGGTAAAGATAGGTCAAGGAAGAACTTCAAATGTTTTATTTTTTTTTATGTTAGTATTATTTAAATTTAAGAACAAAATCTGAAAGCGTCCTCAACAAAAGGGGATTAATTGATGTTTCTCAAATAAATGCAAAGTATCAACAGAGGATTCCTTTTAGCACACAAGTTGCAACAGACAAAAATAGCTTTTGATTCTTAATCTCGAATTCCAAATTCCAGAAATTATATTAATACGTGCATCTTCTATTTTATTGAATCCCAAATTTAGTGAATTGCATTGACATTACGTACAAGCGAAGGCATACTAAGAGAACAGCCAAGAAGATGTAACCTAGTAGTTCCTATTTAAATAATTATTCATACGCTTAATTTCCATAAAGGCACATGCATTTTAATGGGGTTTCCTTAACAGCGTTTGACCAGCAGGTACTCTTTCTTCAATATTCTTAATAATTTCAAAACAACCTTGGGAGGAAGAAAATAGATTAGAATTTTATTACCAAGGTAATCGAAATTAATGAAGGAAGCCAAACTGTAAACACTGTATCATTATGAGCACTAACAAATGTAGCAAGTGTTTGACTCCTTCATCCACATAAATCAAGATTCATTACCATAAACATGAGGATAAGAGTATTATGCCATCAATGTCATAACTGTCTTAAAATAACTAATATATATTGATAGAAGACTCTTCTTATTGACTTCATGCTTTTCTCAAAACTATTGGTAAAAATCATTGCTGTTATACCATCAACATAAGAATAAACCAGAACTAAATCCTACCAAAAACAAGTTGAAATCATTTGATCAGAACCTTGATTTGGGAATGTGAGACAAAATCTGATAGGTGGTATGCTGGGGATAGTTTAATTTTCCTTTATTTTAAGTGGACTCATTTAGGATAATTAAACTTCCTTTATACAAATTTCCTATTAGTTTTATAACACATTGCTAAGGTAGTTGGCTCTCTTATACCATGAGAAAGTGAGAATTGTATTTCTCTGCACCCTAACTTCTTTTTCTTACATCAAGTCTCATGGTTTCTTTCCCTTTTGATCAGATTCGATCATTTATCCATTCTAGATTGCAAGTGACACACAATTCGAATTGTGTACTCGAACACAAAATCTGCAGTGGTCAAACTGAATTCTAGTAACAAAGGGTTTATTGACCAAATTAATTAGTTCTTAAACAAACTTTTATGGAACTCACTAATATTTGAATTAAAGGCTACACAGCCTACAAATGAAACTAGCAGATGAACATACAACACATTAAAACATAACTAAATTACATGCATCATAGAATCTAGAAATCCTCATGCTTCCAAACATAAATTAACAAGAAACCAAAAACAAGGAAAAGGAAAATCCTATTTATCCAACCTACTTACATATATACAAACAGAAACAAATGGAGATATAACTATATCTATGATTTGAGCAGGCTTGTCTTCCAAAATCGTTAAAACAGAAAAGAAAAATTAGTTAAAGAGGAATGAAAAGCGATGTGCAATAAGAGGAAAAAATCGAAGGAAATAAAATTACGTAAGAAAAGAAAAGGAAAGAAGAATCGAACCGACCTCGCCCGAGTCAGCCATGTTCTTCGGGCTTCTTTCTTTAGGGAAGGGCAGGTTGAATGAATATTTGCTTCTTCTTTTTTTTGTTCTTTAATTTTCTGTTATAATTATAGTATTCTACTCAATTTCACAGGGTCGTCTTCCTTCTTCTCTTGTCAGAGATAGAAACATTTGAATATTATTTGGTGTTGGAATTTGTAGATTAAGGTTCAGCTTCAGGATCCGGTTTCTTGGCCTTGGCCCAACCGAACTTTGTATTATGAGAAATATTTTTAGAATAATATTTTAAAAAAATTTAAATAGATTATTATTTTTATTATGTTCAATTAAGCTATGTTTTGAGAAAAAAAAAATTAAGTCTCAGTATTTTCACATAGGATCAACTAAAATCTTATAATTAAAATTGATTAATTTTTTTTAATTAAAATAATATCATTTATTATTTTATATTTACAAGATATTAACATAAAAAGTGAAATAGCATATAATTATATCAATATATCATGTTATTATTCACTATGATATATCATATCATGTTGTATTGATGTCATGTCATAAACTGATAAAAAAATAATATTTTTAATAATAATAATAATTATTATTAATTATAAAAATTTATTTAATTTAAAATAATAATATAAAATTTTAATTAAATATAATAAAAATAAAATTTTTTAAATAATTAAAAATTTTAAAATTTTCTTTTTTAAAAAAATAACATAAATATTTTGTTAGATATAAATGAAGTACGCAATCTTGACCTAAATAACATAAAGTAACCCTTTCTTTTCTTAAAATCCACATGATGTTTCTAAAACTCAAAACTCTTCTCAAAACTTCAAATTTTAATCGACTATCTTATTTTGAGTATTAAAATTCGAATTCATATCTTTTCTCAAAATTTAAAATTTTAAACATTTGAATATCTTATTTCGAGTATCTTATTCGACAACCAAATTAGTCTAAAGTCTATCAATTCTATTCTAATCATCAAAAACAAATTTTAATAAAAATCCAATTTTTTTACTATAAAAGTTAAAAGAATTCTTATGATTTCAATTAATAAGAATAAAAAGAATTTATCCCGCACATCATAATAGATTAGCAAAATTCTAGAGATTTTGTCAAATTAGGATACACAGGAAAAATAACCAAATAAATAAATAAATAAATAAAATAAAGAAAAACAGTTATAGGATGAAAATAATAGTACAATTTAATGATAAACCGCACATTATTGTCAATTTCTGCTTTGTGCATAGCAACTGCACCCTGTATACAAGTCTACAGTTCCTGGATGATATATTCATTTTCAAAGGCCACAGGGACTAACATCAGCTCTGGCATTCATGAGGAAAGCAATTTATCCCGGACCCTAGTCCTGTGAAATCAAGCAGGCATGACACCACTAATAGACCTGCATTTTTCCGGAACAAATATAACATGAAATGCTACAGCAAGGAAGCAGTTAAATGAAGGGCCTCGAGAGAGGGAGAGAATGAGGAAGTAAAGACAAACTCACATTGCATGAATGGCGGTTGCTGCATCTCCGGAAAAACAATGATAAGGTCATTTGCTCCTTCAAGAGTGCCTCAATTTCTCGCTGCTTTCGTACAACAGCTGAAAGAAAATAAGAGGTAAGTAATACAATTTAAGAGTTCGACCGGATAAAATGGGAAAATGAAACTTCAACAATCATTCAATTCCCTCATGCTGGGTAAAGGATTACATGGTAAATACACGTAACAACTTAATGTACTTGTCGAGCTAATTAGGAACAGAAATAACAATGATTACGAAACAAGTCAACTCATAGGCATACATTTGCTAAAGAGAAGATTAATGTACTACTTATTTCAGAGTGAAGTACAAAACTAATAGAGAAACAGACATCAAGATCATACACTCTTGAAGTCAACTTGAAAAGAAAGTATCATACTTGTTTCAATATAATTCAAGACCCAATTCATTGAACTCCAGTTACACTCTGGTTGCTAAGAACCAGTTGAGTGAGAACAAAGGAACCAGTTGCTGAAGGTTATAGGTTATAACCCAGTAACACATTCAAGAAAGAACGAACACACCAGTCTGCAGGTAGCAAATAACTGATGTCAGATATAACTTAGGGAAAATGCTCATATTTAGTTTATATTCTACAAAATGAGAAGAATGAGCATTTCTTACATCTCCCACAATAAATTTGTCCAAGGAATTCAGTGGTGGCAGCAGCCATTCTGATCGATATATGGAGACATTTCGATGCTCACCATTAACAAAATCATCATCTGTAACATAGTAAGGACAACTTAGATGCATATTAAAGCAACAGCAAGCATAAAGAGGCTAAACAAATTTAGTGACTTCCGCTATTATATAAAGAAATCAGAACCTGTGGCTCGTACGAGAATCCTGTGTGTAACAAAGGACTGCAACAGCCAGAGAGAATTGTTTATTAACACAATATAAAGTTTAATAACCAACATTATTAGAATAGTCAGCGAGGACAAATTCTACTGCTAATCATATTTAAATAACAAGAAGTACTTTTGTAACATGAATCCCTCCTATGCCTACACTGAATTTGATTTAACAAAGAAAAGATGGCGACTCTACTAATGTCTTAAGGCACTTTTCACTGCATGTCTTACCTCAGAATGATTCTATCAGAGACAATCAACTAAGGAATGTTGTTTCTCAGTTTGTGAAGCACAAGTTTGAACTATAGAATATAATCCTGATTTTGACTATAGTTTCTACAAACAAAATTGGATGAGTATGCAACTTTTAGTACAAGCAAGCTTAAGATCCTGTAGTAATTCTTATACATATGGCAAATATTTTGATAACACATCTACTTTTACTTGTGAAAATTCAATTCTACATTCAAAGTTTGAGCACAGGCACAGATCTGGAACTATTTACTTGCAAAATATTTAGGAAATCCAGATTGCAAGAAATTTTTGAAAATACATAAATGAAAGTAGAGGGACTGATCTGAATAATTGACTAAGCACAGGGACTACCGGCAAACTTTAACTGCTAAGCAACAGTCAGCATATAACAGGTTTCAGTGTGTCTTTAAAAATAACCAAAAAAAACATGAGAAACAACCTAATCATAGGTCATTACCTGCCAAACAGCAGGCATAAACTCGCGATATGGAACTTGCTGATCACTACTTGTTACACTTCTTGAATGCGGGTTATCTGTTGAAGGCCATTTTCTATTATTCCTGTCAAAAACATTAATCATTAAACTCTACTAGGACAAAGGTTTCCATCAGAGAATAGAAGTATATCTCTGACAACATTATAGTTTTTGGAAAGCACCTTTCTAATCACAAAAGCAAGTTACATATTTGAAAAAAAAAAAGATAACAAACTCTTGATAAAAAAGACATGAAAAAAAGGCCATCAGGATCCATAAAAGGTAATGGAACTGAAGTAGAAACTACAATCCAACTAGCCATCACAAATACCAGGAACTTACAAGCATCTCATTCTTTTAACTCCAACCTATGAAGCAATTCAAACTTATTACTTTACTAGGAACACGGTAACTGAGGAAACATGGTAAAAAGCCCAGGTTATTTGTCTGTCTCATTTTCATAATCCACATGATTAGCCCATTCTTATCCACAGTTCCATTAGGTTATCCATGAAGGGGATTGTTAAATGGTGTTACATCCACATTACTTAAGAAAACCATGAACTACAAACTGAATCAGCTAACCTTCTGCACTCATAATCAATCAAGATGACAAATATGGCATCTTAAACACCACATCATGAGTTAATTGAAAATAATCTCCAGTAACAGATGCTTCTAAAGTATAAGATTATAGCATGAAATTCTGCCAGCTGCTAGACAGTAGACACATGAAGTTGCCAACTGCAAAAACACCCTTGCACAAGTATAAAGGAAACATACCATCTTGACTCGTTCATTGAATATCGGTTGCCTAGGATGGCTGCTTTTGTAGCCATCACAAGCATGGGATGCACCAACAGGAGCTTTCTAATCTCCTGAACTACAGTTTGTGACACACTTTGGAGATGCAAGCTTTTCCTACACATCAATCAAGAATGCAATTAGCAACCAAAATTTTCTTTTCTACATTTGTACATTTGTATACATATGAGTGTGCAAGTTTTTGTTGTGTAGCTATCATACGAAAAGACACAATTAGCTAAAACAGTGAGAAATTATGATTGGTTCTGATCCCGGGGGACAAACTAAATAAATAAATAAAGAATAAACTACAAACATATACCACAAACACAGAGAAGACTGGGACATCCAAAACCCCATACATGATTGGCAAACTAAAAAATAAATCTAGAAAACACAAAAATAACAATTAGACAGTTTCTCATACAACATATGAGAGGAAATGGTGAAAAAAGAACAAGTGAGAGACATTTCCAAAAGATTGCCGGAAAATTGTAGGAACAGATATCAAAATATAGTTACCTATTATCACCCTCCAGCAAAAAAGATGACGAACCACGATCTACCCAGTGAAATGCTCCAATGCTGGTGACAAGTTATGCACATCAGAGACTAATATGAATTAGGTTGTCCTATCTGTTATTTTAATTTCAAAGCTAACTTAGACCTCCATTGAATAACCCAATAGATCTCCTTTGTTAAATTTTGTTATGTACGCCCACTTCAAAGATTTAAGGCACCGCCAATCACATCTGTTGGGATATTCTGCTCAGGAAACACTTTTAGTATAATTCTTGAACTACCTGATGACAGTATCAAAATCTGGATATGTTTGAGCTTTTATAAGCAGGTTCTTTTCTTTTTTTCTTGAAAACGTAAAGCAAAAAAATTAATTTGGCCATTCAGTTGCCAGTAGTATTTCAGTCATTATTGGAAGGAGATCAGATTGTGTAATTAATTTGGTTTCGGTTATTCAATTATCAGAATTACTTCCATCACGAATATTATATTCCTTGAAAAGATATATTCATGAGAGAGATGCCTTCAAGTGTTCAAAGAGCTGTAATACTTGGTTTTCCAGAACTGTTACACCAACAATATACAGCTACAATTGAAAGAAAATAAAAGGTAACCAGTGTAAGGGTTTGAATTAGAGGGATCAATGCCAAACCTGTCAATCAATAGGAAATGAACATTAATACCGTGAGCTTCCTTTTCCTTTTGAAGCCGATAATGTAATGTCTGTCATCCAGCAAAAATACACTAATGAAAAAAAAAATTAAAAACCACCAAATAAGCCAAGGCAAAAATTTACACTTAGTATAAAGAGAAGTCTGACTAGATCCTCGTACCAACTCGGTCTCTTTCAAAATCTTAAGTGTTGGTTTCACACTTGGAAATGGCTTTCAAGTTAAAGGCAGAACTGTTCCTATAATTACCCTTATTTCTCTCCTTATGAAAGGAAAACAGTGCATTACTTCACTCAGACAAGCACAGTTTGCACCTTGTGCCTTAAGCAATTAGGAAGAAGACTTTGCCCCTCACCTTGAGAGTGGAAAGAAATTCTGAACTATCATAACAACGGATGTATAAAAACCGTCTCATGCATAACGCAAACAATTCCTCATTGTAAGGTTTCATTGTTGCATTTTGAGCTTCAGACTCCCCTTTCTGGCAACCTACTTTATTGCTTGATCCTAGACATACATGAACCGAACATTAGACAAAGAAAGTTGCGACGTGAAACTGGTAATTTTTCCATCAAGAATTAGTCTTACCATTGGCTGCTTCCATGATTCTATGGTTTAACAATTCCGAAAAGCGTAAAATGTCAAAACGACAATCCAAGTCAATGAACATTGCCAAATGCCCCAATCCCCCGTAATCGACCCCTTTCCACTGTTTGGGAAGTACGCAAGTGATGGCAGCCTGGATTAGGATGTGGGTTTTGGCAGAAGAAGTAGGGCCTACGAGCTCAACGATGTTGCCGACGCGTAGAGGAACCCTGTGAAGAGGGGGAAGAAGCAATAAAGGGCGCTCCGTCAGAACCCTGTCTAACATTTCTCTCGCACTCTCGTCTTCAACAAGCCAAGCTTCGGCACCGGAATCCATAATGCTTGACAGTTTAAAGCAGCCACTTTCTTCAGGATTTCATAAGGTTGCCGTTCAAGGTTCTCCCATAACCCAACATGAACAAGGTAACTAGCTTACTCGCCTTCTACACTTCTGAAGCATAAGGGTGGAAGAAAGCACCCCCTCCCGGCCTCTCTACCTTCTGAAAGGAGGAGTCAGTATTTGCTCTTGGACCACCATATCCATTTGGAATTCTATTTATACCCAGCCCAGAGTTCATCTTGATTCCATAACGTTGTGGGTTGGGTTGAATTAGACGGCTACTCAAATCTAACCCGCTTTATTTTCCATTTTATATCAATCAAGAAAAACGCCTTTTCCATCCGAGTTGCACTTGCCCTTCAATTATGAAGCAACAACAAATCGAAGAAATCCTTAGTTTAATTTGATTGAACCCAATGTTATTCCGCTTTTTTTAACAAAGAATATTCCCAAATGTTTTAATCTCAATCCGTCAAAATGCCAAATTGGTTTCATATAATCTGTCCTGTTAAGAACACAACCTTTTGGTTCTTGTTTAGCCATCAATTCAGCTTACTTTACCAGTTACAACCATAGCTCACAACTAAAAACTGGTTCAACCCATATAACTATCTATCACCATACAGAATCTGTTGTTCATGCTCCAGACTCACCTCATCATCAGTCACCAATCAAAATCTTCTGCATTTTCCACATTCTTCATTTCAATTTACAAACTTTGGTTATTAATCAACTCCAATTTCGCATCCATACATACAAATTCCATGACTTTAATCAGACAACGTTATGACTCTTGGTCCTTTAAATTTCCATTCCAGATTAAGGACAGTCGAAGGAAGAACAGTGTTTGTGGCGTTTCCAGGATCAAATGACATTAAAGAAAAAGCCAACAATCAGGATAACCACATATTTCAATATCGCGTCTGAGCCATTATGCCAAGAGGAACCAATTATCCCCCAGAATTGGTAATAGACGCTGTTTTTCCCTCTTATTTTAACAAAAAACTAATACTAATATTCACAAAAAAATTAAGAACTTTTTTGGGAAATGAAAGGGATTTACAGATTTAGAGCTCAGTGGAAGGAGAAGTCGTTAAAAAAAGAGGGCTCACGGCAGACCTTCCAATAAGAAGATCCAACTCCACTGCCCATCAACACTTTACGTGTTTTCATCTCATCATAGCATAAATTAAATCCCTTTTTTTATTTTTTTTAATTTCAAAAATAAAATTGCAAAAGACTATAAGAAAAGGCCTCAGTGTGTGTAACAATCAGATCATTGACAATAAAATCTCACTGAAATCCGCTAAGATTATTTAATTATCATCATTAGCCTCATCCTATAACCAAAAAAAAAACAAAATTCATTAAAAAATTACGAAAACAAAAGGAGAAGAAGAATGAAGAAGGGTACTCAGACAGCCAAGGGTTAGTCTTCAACTTCTGGGAAAAACCCAGATCAGAAACTCTAGTCCACAAAAAATTGCTTCATCACCGCACTCTTCTTTCTTTTTCTTTGAAAAATTAAAAGAGGAAAAACCGATAAGAGAAAAAATAAAACCCCTACAAACAAAAAAATTCCTTGATGCAATTCACGGCACCGAAGACAAGCACATTGAAGAATCTACAGGTTCAACCCAAATATATAGTGATTGACAGAGCTGAAATTAGGGTTTTTCAAAGAGTTTATGTTCGGGCTAGGGTTAAGGTTTGACTTTGACTGCGGGATTGGTTGGCGGCTGAAACCCGGAGATGGACCCTGAAGCCCGTTTAAAGTTTTTGGATCATTACCATAAAGGCCCAATTGGGTTGGATTGAAGGTGCTAAACTAGTTTTTGACATCCAATGTTCAACTTTTAAAAATTTTTATGTTTTTAATTTATGGTTTTTCACATAATTTCTATAAAATTTTTTAAAAAATTAGATTAAATTATGTAATTAGTCCATATATTATATAAAAAGTATAAATTTAATTTCTATATAATAATTTGTATGAATTGAATCTTTATACTTTGTTAATTTATTAATTTCAATCCCTTACTTTAACATCATTAAATTCGACCGTTAAGTATGTTTATGTGACATTATTAACTAAGCTGACATTGCATTAATAGAGATGAAGTGGTATAATGCTAACATAGCAAAACATTTACTTGGTAAAAAATTATTAACTCTCCATGTGAGGCAAACAAAGAAATTAAAAAAATTACGTTAACTCTAAATTAAAAATTAAATGAGATTAACAAAAAGAAATTAAGAACTAAAAAAAACGATTAAGAGAGAAAAAAAATCTACATCCAAAGAGGGAAGAGAGGAGAATCAACTGGCTTTAAATTTGGAATTGAAGATAGGGAAAATAATGAGTTCTCTTTCTTAAGATTCAACTGATTTTGAATTAGTAATTTTTTATTTAAAATTCAACCGATTAATATAAAGACCTTTGATTAAAAGCACCATTTCACATTGATTGCCACAGCCAAAGTTGCTTAATTTAAAAGATTGGTTTAACTGAGAAAATAATTGTAGGCACAACTATGGTGAACAACAAAGTGAGAAAAATGGATCAGAAGTCTCAGGTTTCCAAGAAGATGAAGTCTGCATTTACAGTTGCTGAGTAGATAGTTAGCATTTGCTATTTTGCCAAAAGAAACAAATCTAGATGAGATTGTAACAAAGTCTTTGTATTAACCAATTGAATTTTCAATCAAAAATTGTTGATTCAAGACTAGTTGAATCTTCAAAAAGAAAACCCATTATTTTTTCTACTTTTAATTACATATTCAAAGCCAATTGATTCTCCTTCTTTAGTGGTAGTTTTTTTTTCTCTCTCTCTCTCTTAATTGTTTTGTTTTTTGAAAGTTCTTAATGGTTTTTTGTTAATCTCATTTAATTTTTAATTTAGAGTTAGGATTTTTTTTTTGTAAAACTCATGTCGAGAGTTAAGTATTTCTTTACAAGATAAATATTTGATTATGTCAACATTATGCCATAACCAAAATGTCACGTTAACATATTTAACAGTCAAATTTAATGATGTTAAAGTTAAAAATATAAATTAAAAAATTAACAAATGACCCAATTCACACCCATTATTATTCAAAAATTAAATTTATATTTTTTAGATAATATAAAAACTATTTGTATAATTTAACCAAAAAATAATATCATGTTTGCTTAATGTTTTTGTCACGACTCGGGTGATCAACAGTCCAGTAGGCCAGCGATTGAGACAGGTCAAGAGCCCAAGTAGGCCAGTAATCAAAGCAAGCCAACAACCCAATCAGACCAACCAGTAGGCTCAAAGTCGGGAGGCGCAATCTTTGTCCACACCAAGGGATAGAGTTGTTTGCGTGGAGTCATATCAGTTACGAATCCTTTAATTGGTTGATATATTTTAAATTTAAGTGTAAACAGGATAAATATTTAAATTTGAACCATACAAGCATGGTGAATATTTAAAATTTGAATGCATTAGTCATTTATTTTAAATTTAATTTAATATAAGCTACGTAAGAGACTAATTATGCTTCTAAATACCCCCAGTGTTCATATGTAAAACACACCAAAGTTCAAAAATAAAAATTAATTCTCTTGGGTTTTCCTCTTTCTTTAAAAAAAAAATTATCCGTTACTTATTGTGTTGTTGAAAGAATCTGGAGTCTTTGACTAGTTTGGATTAAGTTTATTTAGACTTGTTTAGACAAGAAAGAGTTAAGATCACATGGCATGTGCTTACATTACTCAACCCATGACATTTTCATTATCTATCTTTTATTTTTTATTTATTTATTAATTTTATTTATTTTTTTAAAAGCAAATGTATCAATAAAATAAAATCTAAATAATTACAAAATATATGTTATTCAATAATTAAATTTTTTCAAAATTTTAAGTACAAACTAACAACACAGATATATGTTATTCAATAATGCACTTGGATGTTAGTCTTGTTGATAAATGCATGTGTTTATTTATTAAAAAAAAAAACCTAGGTCTTAACATTATGAGTATTTATTTTAAATAGTTGGTGTATGAGTTCTTTATTCAAAAAATAACGTTAAAATTTATTTTTTCTCAAATAAAAAAATTAAATGTAAATTCTCCATTCCATAAGATTACCACTTGGGCTGGATTGAAGGTAATGGACTAGTTTTTGAAATGTTCAGCTTGTAATAATTTTTTTTGTGTTTAATTCACCTTCAAATTTATGGCTTTTCATATAATTTTATCAATTTTTTTTAAAAATAAAATTTCTTTTAGTTGATATTTTTGTTATTTGTCTTTTGCTTCTATGCATTTTATACTTTTTGGCCTTTTGCATTTTATTCATTTTATTATAAAAATAAAAAAAGTAAAAAATTAAGAAAAATACCAATCAAATAAAATCTAAACAGGATAATGTTATCTAACAATTAAATTCTCAAATATTAATTACAAACCGAAAACACCGAACATCATTATTTTATTAATACAATGATGAGCCTAAAAGTTAGTCTTGACAATAAATTCATGTGTTTATTTATTCAAAAAACTAACTTTAACACCTCAAATATTAATTTAATAATTGATATATGATTTTTTATTTAAAAAATAAAATTTGAATTTTTTTAAATTAAAAAAAAAGCATATTTTGGATTCTGCATTCCATAAATTAGGTCAGTGAGATGGAAGCCATTTGCAATCTTTCTTCAGGTAGATAACCAATGAGGTTCAAACTTATCCTCGAGAGAAGCCAAAAATGTTTATAACGGCCAGAGAAGTGGGTCACACTCCAACAGTTTGACTGTTGAAATCAAACAAAATGGGATACAACTAGGCTTTAAGGAGTATAGCTGAGCCCGATAGATTCAAAGCAAAGGAACCAAAGTCCACCTATACGGTCCTGGTTAATAAAATAAGGCTGCAGACACTGAACCAGGACAAGCAGTGACGGACCCATGGGTGTCTTTAACGCAAGTTACGGATCCAACAGGCTAGACGTCGAGGGGACCAACCTCTTCAAGCACGTGGAAATCATACGCTTAACTCTAGGAAGAGGATTAATTATTATTTTATGGATTTTAATTTTATTAACCCAATCCTTAAATAATAATAATATTTTTATAATGAATTATAATAATTAACTTTTAACGTGATGATTTTTAAATAAATTTAAAAAAATTATATTAATTAATATAATAAGTTAAAAAAGTATCTGTCTTTAATAAAGTCTTTTTATATTACTCGTGTTCTTCAACGTCATAGCGGCCGACAATGTTTGCACGAAGGAAGAGTACACGTTAACCTTTTCTTCCAAGACACAACTTCTCTTTTGTTTTCCCTTTCGTCCAGCAAGCCAGAGCAAATCATGGCCAGTCAATCCATCAATATTTTAAATTAAATATAATAATTTTTTTAATTATTAAAATTTTTAAAATATTATATTCAATACAAATTTTATTTTTTTAGATTAACTATACTCTTATAAATAACTCAATAACAAATTTAAAATTTCATACTAAAGTTGATTAAATGACAATCATATAAAATTTTAAATTAAACCAATAATTCGAATCAAAATAAAAAATTAATTATTTTATAAATAAAATTAAATTATAACATAAAATTAAAAAGGGACGATCTTTACTTGCTTTAGTCCACTCTTAATTAAAAATGATTGATTGTCACTAATTAAATATAAAAAATAAAAATATTATATGTTTATATTATTATATTATATTATTATTATTATAATATATCAATATATCATTATTATTTTAATATAATATAGTATAAAATAATAACAAATATTTTAATTAAAAATAATTGATCAACTATTTAAGACAATTAGCTTAACACTGTTTTGCTTTCTTATTTAAGCAACTTTTTATTTCGCTGTTGATCAAATTTCGTTAAGTGTTGAATCAATAACTAGAAGTATAGTTCAAAATCAAAGCTCAAAGATAACGTGCCAACGCATGTGTCTAGTATATATATTATTAACTTATGCATAGTTTAATCATTGATTTTCATACAGCGACATGTTCATGGGACAATTATCATTGGGTGTAATAGAGACGAGATTAAGACGTGTGAGTGTAATGGGAGAACAAAATAAGTGATAAGTGTTACCAAAAGTCCAAAACAGTTGATGAAGGTAAAGTTCTGTCCTGTTAATTCTTTTCTTCCTTTAACCCTGACCAAGGTTAGGAATAATCAATTACCTTTTCTATATTCTTGTTTTTGGGTCGTACTTTATCACCTTTTTAATTCTTTTAACAAGAAAAAATCGCAAAAGAAACACCACTGCTTTACATTACTCAAACATTGTATTCTGTCTTAAATTAAAAAAATTATAAATTTATTTAACTTTTAATCATTCTACCATTTAAGTTAATATCACTTGATTCGTTACATCAAATTTAAAAATTAACATTTTGGAGCTTTTAGCATTTCTTCTTGCGACTATTTTTATTGATATATATATAATGTTTAAATAAAATTTTGAATTATTTAAAAAATTCTAAATTAATTTTTATTTTTATTATATTTAATCAAATTTATATATTTTTATTTTAAATGAAATAAATTTTTATAATTAATAATTCATTTAAAACAAAATATAAAAAATTAATTAAATATA